TTCTAGATCCTCCATCGTTCGCGAATTCGTCTGGAAAGGATTCGGCCTCGTTTTCAGACGTTTTTGAATTCAAATAGGACTCAGATCCTTCGGCCGACGCGTCGGCACTAGCGGCGCAAGTCTGTGAACCAGCGGCATTGCTTTCCGCGCAATTTCCGGCGTGATTACTGGCGGATTGGCCGGCGGTGGCGTCTTGTGCAAAGGAGGTGGTAGCCAGCAGAATAACGAGGGGCAACGACAGAGTGAGCAGGAATGGTAGCGGGACGCGGTGACGAGTTCGAATCGCGGGGAACGATAAACGACCAGCTTCTTTGCGAACCGCTCCTTCGCGACCGAAACGACTTTCACCATGACGAGCATTAGGAGGATCATTACGACAGCTGCGAGTTTGGTGGACACGTAATGATGCGGCCATGGCTGCTTGGCATTGCATGTGTCGAACTGAATGCTGAACCAGCAACGTCCCGTGTGGCGCAAAATGACTCAGAACAAGGATCTGCATGATACATTCTCGGGGACAGATTCCCGCCAAATTTCCGAGCAATGCAAGAGATAAGGTATACCCGCTAAAGAAATTTCATTTCCTATCGAGTTACGCTCTAGAACTGCCAGTTATTCATCATAGGCTGGGAATCCTTAGGTGGGGAAATCCTCCCATGATGGGAGCACTTCGCCCATGCAAATTCAGTTTTAGAGGATGCAACCTTATTTGCAAGCTTTCAACGAAAGAAATTGAATTTGGGGGCTTGCCCTGGTCAACCCTTTTGTGGGTGAAATTGCATTAAAAAGCAAAACAGTCAGTGCCAGCCTGCCCAATTCCCACCCCTGCATCATCTCATCTCATCACCCCTCCCAACCCAAGAATTCCAGCAGCATATAGTGGAGCAAGTTAGCAGGCAGGCAACCTGTTGGGCTGAGTTATCTCAACACAACCAACAGCAGGATACCGTACAAGACTCGTTTAGCCAAACCACAGATGCACTACACATAGACATATGCTTCAGAACGTGTGCCTGAGAAAGGCACACAGATTCCCTCCCTCTCTCATACATACCCAATACAGGCACAAATGCCAAACCCACTCCAGTTCCAGAAATAGGCCATCGTCTATTCAAACACCACTCCTGCCCGTAACCCCACTCCACTGCACCAACTACCGCAACCCTGCCCCACAGCCTTCCCAAACAGGTCATCCTTATTACCAAACCTGCTCCTGTCTCATTATGAGAGACAGATGGTTCATAGGTCAGCCAAGAAGTCCATTCGCCAAGCAGACCCAGACAAGTAATTACCTGCTGACTTATAACGAACCCCCCACCCCACTAAACCAGTGAATCCTGATCTCTGCTCTCCCCCCCTTCCCCAGCCCCATCCTCTCTATCTATTCCTCTTCCTGCCTCTCTCTCCCCCTGCCCAGTCACGCTCCCAACCTGGACATTCCTTCCAGCTACATCCCTCCCCTCTCCCTCTCCAACCCTGACCGCTTCAGGCTGGCTCTCCTCGTTTTCCCTCTGCCCGTTCCTCCCTTGAGTCACAATCGGTACAAGCGCATCCGATAGAGCACCACCAGCACCTCTTGTCCCTGTTGTTTCTTTTCGGCCACCCGCCCGTTCCTTCTTCCCACACCCGCAACACCTCCCTTCCTCCCTTTCCCCGCTTCCCACCACCTCTCGTGACTCTCTTCTTTCCCCTTTCCCGCCTTCCCCCACCTCGCCATGTCTCCCCACTCGCCTCCCTACCTGCCCCTGCCTATGCCCTTGTCTCCGCCTCTCTCTCCCGCCCTCCCCTCTATTTCCTCCTCGTTCCGCTTCTCTCGAACCTCCGCTGCCCTGTCCCCTCCCCCCTTCCCCGCGCTGCCTGCTACCCCTGCTCTCCGACTCGTCGATATTTCCGCCAGGGGAACGGGAGCGGGAGGACCGGGAACCAGAGGAAGACGAGGAGGAGGAAGCGGCTAACGACGATAACGAGGAGGCTGAAGACGAGGATGACGGGGTGCGGGAGGAGCGCATGGGGGCGGAGGGGGAGGAATCCGAGCGGGAATCTCCGCGCCCGTGCTCGTGCCTCGCGGTTGACGCGGCGATTTCCGCGGCGAGAGAAGCGGCGGCACTCGCGGCGGCGGCTGCGGCAGACGCGGTTCGGATAGCGGACTCAGGAGCAAAATAGAACGCGGCGCCGACAAACGCCAGCACGCACACAGACGCTAATACCGCGGCGACTGCTAACGCGAATAAAGTGACGCTGTCCGACGATCCGGAATCCGACGTGGCAGTTGCGTTCGCAGGGACGGGGTAAGAAGACGAATATGTGGTCGCCGTGACATTCGACGATGACGTGGCAGAAATATCCGTGGCGTTACCAGAATCTGCGCCGGGAATCGCGGACGCGGGACTCCCTGAAGAAGGGGCGGCAGATCCGGTGCTAGCGGGAGCGCAATTCGCGGAGGAGGATAAGAGCAGCGCGAGCGTAGCACCATCGAACGGCTCTGCTGCCTCGCAACTAATCGACCTTATTCCCATCTTCTGCGGCGCGACGAACGGCGCACCCATCGCTCCGCCCTGCAACCTAATCGTGCGCATCCCCCCCCGTAACTTGGATCCCGCAGTTCCCGCCGCGTGTTGCGGCGCTGAGCTTACGGCAGCGCTAATGCTACCAGGGGAGTCGAGGGCCATCTTGCTGGATGGTTTCGCGGCGGGTTCTCCGGCCGATCCGGAATTCGGGGTAGCAATTGAGGATGAGCCGTTGGATGAACAGTGTGGGTTGGATCGGACGGTGGAGATTAAATAGTCCCATGTAGGCATGACGATGGCGAACGACAGTTCTAACGGCGAGCAGTTGACGGACGACCAGAAGACTAACGACCGGCAGATGTAAATGCGCTCGCCAATTGATTTTCCACCCTGAGTCGATTCCACCTTGCTTGTAGCGGGAGAGCTTGTAACGGATGTGTTTGTAGTAAGAGAGCTCGTACCACCAGCAGTACTCTTATCCGTCGCATTGCTGGCTGCGAGAGCAGCGGCGAGAGCAGCAGACGCATCCCCCAGCCAATCAATCCTGAACGACCGACTCGCGCTAGGTCGAGGGATCCGGAGGCAACTCGCGGCAGGGCTCGGCGAAACCACGGCGACAGGCGCGGGGCAAGAAAACGCTTCATCCGGGCAGCTGGTAATTGCGGTGAGCATTGAAATCTGCCCGCTTTGGCCCGGTTTTGACGGCACTGACGGCGGCGGCTGCGCAGGATCCGACGATCCCGTGACTTTGTGAAGAGTTGCTTCTATCTCACCCGGCGGTGCGGCACTTGCGGCGGAAGTTACAGCGGCAGTTACAGTGATCGATGTGAGTGGAAGGGCAAGGAGGAGACCGAGGAGGAGGAAGCTAGGCGAGGCGGGGAGCCGCCATCTGTGGCGACACGGAGTTACTCGGTGACAGCGTGGCGAAAATCGTTGATGGTTCTGCGACACCATGTATGACGATGTCGGTATAAACGCTATCGGTGTACCGGAGTCGCCGCTCATGCTACGACACGGGAGCGATTTATCTCGCTCCACAGGGCGCTCCGAGCTCCGTTCTCTATGTAGCGCTTACGCTAAGCGTTAGTCGGTCTTAAGGCTGAGCCTTTTTGTGGATTATGTGCGACGGCACGCGACGGTGTGCGACTCCAACCACCTCGCGACGGTTGGCAAGTCTTCACTTAAATGGCTTCCCAAAATTTCCCGCTATCTCTGTCCATGCAAAGTCTTGTGTCGTCCAACCCCCTCGCTACTATTACCGCACATGGCGAGAGTCAGTTCTCAAACGAAGCTAAGACGGTGCTATGCTGCTTGTTTGTAGTTGCTATGTCGGATTAGAGGCGCAAGTGACAAGGTGGTTGAGTCGCAGATACTTCGTGAATGGGACAATCAATCACGCTTGGACTGAACAACGTGGATTCTGGGCAGAAGGGAACTGTCAAGGTGATCTGTAGTCCGTGCCCTGGGGTTGAGGTTCGCGGCTTGTGGCTGAAAATTCGGCTCGGGCAGATGAAGTTGCTTGGACCTACGATTTTCCAGACACTCTGCGATCTGTCATTGTACAGTAGCACTTCGTCGTACAGATCTCGACTTTGCCTCAGCGACACTGTGTGGGATATGTGCTAGCTCGTTGTGGGATGGCAATGGCGATTGCTATGGCGGCCAAGGGGGCTGATGTGCAACGGGCGATGCAGTTGGAGAATGGTTTAGGTGCAGGCGACGGTTTCTGTAGCAAGCGAGAGACTCACCTGGAGCCATGCGATCGATGCGTTTCTGTCGTGGCGAGGTAGAAGAAGGGGCAGCGGGTGGCGAAAAGGTGTGGTATCGTTGTGTGGTGTGATGGCGTGGCTACGATGATTTGCGAGGATAACGGCGAGAAAACAAACAAGTTGCGATGGATGCGAAGGCTAGGTGGAAGTAGGTCTGTCGAAGCATCGTCGCGGTTCGTCATCGGGGCAGGACGACTCGGGTCTCGTGATGTGAGTGGTGGAGCCAGGGGCTGGGATCAGGACGACGCGCGAAGACACTGCAGCAGAGATAGGACGGCGTTTTGTGCGGCACGATATTGGAGAAGAGCAGATGAGGCAAGTGACGACTTTGAACGAAGAAGTTACCAGGTGAAGTGCTACACGAATGGGATAAGTTTATAAAGAAAGTAAACGTGTGTACATATGACTGATTCGTATGCACAGAATGTGTTAGAAATTAATGCTGAGAATAGCTGGGCTGCTTCCAGTGCAAATCTTCACCGTTATATTTGCAAATGATGTTGATACAACACGCCATTTGCCCTAACCTAAACAGCACAGGTGGCCATCACACATGCACGCTCCCTATTCTCCATGCCGAGACTCAAGATGGATGCTTCATCTCCTTAACACAACACTTGCAGGCCAGAGTGTGACAATAGGCGTCTCTCACTCTCCCACATCACACCGCCACAGCAATGCTATCATGCTCCGTGTCAAATCCTCTACATCTGTTCAGCTAGTGTCAGCAGAGTGAGGAGGCAGCACTGCCACTGCCAGCAGCCTGTCTGCTCCACATGTCCACCAGTAGCTGGTACCCCGAGCTCTCATACCCGTCCCTGTGCCCCACCACCTGTGCCTTCCCTCCCACTGCCGCACCCCTCCCCGCCCCACCTTTCCCACTCACCCCACCACCACCACCAGCAGCACCACCACTACCACCAGTGCCGCCCCGCTCGAGTTCAAGCAGCATGTGGGCGAGCAGGTCAGCGGGGGACTCTACGAGCCGCAGCTCCTCATCGCTCTCATAGCCCCGGTACAGGGCGAGACCGGAGGACCCCGCGTGCGGTAGGTGCAGCAGACGCACGGAGCCCAGGAGGAGACGGATGGATGGCGAGGAGGGTGGGGTGTAGGGTGTGGCGGGGAGCGGCGCGAGGTCGGTGACGGGATTGGGCTTGCTGTGCACCCTCGCTCTCAACCCTCGCTCTGTCTGGTGCATTCACATCCAGAGGAAGGATGAGGAGGGTATGTGATGAATGATTGCGTGAATTGAAGAGGAATGAGTTGGGGCTAGGAGTAAAAGGCAGAGCATGGGTACCGTCATGGTGACGCATCACTTTCTAACCTCCAATATGGAATGTCTTCACTACCAATCACCCTCACCTCGCTGTTGCGCTGCTATAGCAGGGGGGAGGAGACGGGGTCGGGTGCATTGGCGTCGGGAGGGGCATGGTGGCGCAACCACATGTTATCCTCATCTCACGCATGGCGTCGGGAGAGGCATGGCGTGAACTTTGAGATCAACCCCTCATCTCACTGTCAACTCGGACTAACCATCCTATCGCCTCCCCTCTTCCCCTTGCCGCGCGCTCCCCCTGATGCCTTCCGCCCTGTTCCCTCCCCCCTGCCCCCTGCTCCCCGCCCGAACGGGAGCGGGAGGAACGGGAACCCTACGAAGAGGGGGAAGAGGAGGAGGAAGAAGAGGCAGCGGCTAGTGACGATAACGACGAATCCGAAGACGAGGATGAGGGAGCGGGGGAGGGGCGCAGCGGGGCGGAGGGGGAGGAGTCAGTGCGGGAATCCCCGCGCCCGCGCTCGTGACCCGCGGTTGACGTGGCAATTTCCGCGGTGAGAGACGCGGCGCTCGCGGCGGCGGTTGCGGCGGACGCGGTTCGGATGGCGAACTCGGGAGCGAAGTAAAACGCGGCTCCGACGAACGCCAACACGCACACAGACGCCGCGGCGACTGCTAACGCGAATAAAGTGACGCTGTACGATGATCCGGAATCCGACGTGGCAGTTGCGTTCGCAGGGACGGGGTAAGAAGACGAATAAGTCGACGATGACGTGGCAGAAATATCCGTGGTGTTACCGGAATTTGTGCCGAAAATCGCGGACGCGGGGCTCCCTGAAGGAGTAGCGGCAGATCCGGTGCTAGCGAGAGCGCAAGGCGCGGATAAGAGCAGCGTGAGTGTAGCAGCATCGAACGGCTCTGCTCCCTCGCAACTAATCGATCTGATTTCCATCTTCTGCGGCGCGGCGAACGGCGTGCCTGCCGCCCCTCCCTGCAGCGTAATCGGGTGCATTACCCGTTCCCCCCGTAACCTGGATCCCGCAGCGCCCGCCGCATGTTGCGGCGCTGAGTCCGCGGCAGCGCTTATGCTTCCAGGGGAGTCGAGAGCCACTTTGCTGGTAGCTTTCGTGGCGGGTTCTCCGGCCGAACCCACTGCAAATCCCCCCGTCGTCCCCCTGCCGATTCCCCCTGATCCTCCTGCCGATTCCCCTGATCCGGGATTTGCGGAAGTACTTGAAGATGAGCCGTTGGATGAACAATGTGGGGAGGATCGGGCGGTATAGATTAGGTTATCCCAGTTGGGCATCATGACGGCGAAAGATGGTTCTAACGGCGAGCAGTTGACAGACGACCAGAGTAGTAACGTCCGGCAGACGTAAATGCGCTCGCCGCTCAATTCTCCACCCTGAATCGCTTCCATATTGCCTGTAGCGATGATAGTGGTAGCAGGAGTGCTTGTAGCGGATGTGCTTGTAGCAGGAATGCCCGTACCGCCAGAAGCGATCTTATCTGTCGCATTGCTCGCTGCCGCGAGAGCAGCAGCGAGAGCAGACGCACCCCCCAGCCAATCGATCTTGAACTACCGACTCGCGCTAGACCGTGGGATCCGGAGGCAGCTCGCGTAAGGGCTCGGCAAAACAACGGTGACGGGCGCGGGGCAGGAAAACGTTTCGTCCGGGCAGCTGGTAATAGCGGTGAGCATTGAGATCTGCCCGCTTCGGCCCGGTTTCGACGGCACCGACGGCGTCGGCTTTGGAAGGCCCGACGGGCCCGTGACTTTGTGGAGAGTTGTTTCTATCTCACCCGTCGACGCGACACTTGCGGCGGAAGTTACGGAGGCAGTTGCGGTGATCGATGCGAGTGAAAGGGCGAGGAGGAGACCGAGCAGGAGCAAGCTAGGCGAGGCGGGGAGCCGCCATCTGTGGCGACACGGTGTTACCCGATGACTGCGTGGCGAAACTCGTTGAGGGTTCTTCGACATTACGAGTGATGACATCTGTCTCGTCCGCAATCGCCTCTCCTGCTCAGGACGGGAGCGAACAACTTCGCAATACGTGGCACTCCGATCACCAATATCTACGCGGCGCTTACGCTACGCGGCTTTTAACCTGCACTCTTTTCAGGGTCTTGTGTCGTCCAACCCCCTCACTAGTACAACACATGACACGAGCGAGTTCTCACGCAAAGCCAAGGCACGCTGTGCTGCTCATTCACGGCAGCCATGGCGGACAAGGAGCAAGTGAAGAGGTTGTCGGTCGCTGATTACCGCTGAAACTCCAGAGATAATGGAACATTGTACTCATATGGGACTGAAAAACATGGGTTTCGGGCAGAAAGGGAACTGTGGAGGTGTTATGTAGTCCGTGCCCTGGTGGTTGATGTTCGCGTTCGCGGTGCTGAAAAATCGTATCGGGTTGATAGAGTTGCTTGGACCTACGATCTGTCAGACAGCCTCTGCGATAAGTTGTAGCACTTCGTCGCGCAGATCCCAGCGACAATCTGTGTAGTGTGCCTGCTTGATTGCCAGTGAGGGCTATGGTGATTGCTATGGTGGCAAGAGAGGGCTGAAATGGAAGAGGCAATACAGTTGGAAAACGGTACAAACGAGAGACTCGCCTGGAGGCTTGCAATGATGTTGATTGAAGACAAATTGCGTTTCCATCATTGACGAGGCAGAAGAAGGGGCAAGCGAAGTACTGTATGTGTTTGCGACGGCTGGCGAAGAGGCGTGGCATGGCTGTTCGGCTGTGATGGTAAGGCTGCGATGATTCACGAATGGAACGGCGAGAAAACACACCAATTACGATGGTTGCGAAGGCACACAGGAAGTCGGTCTGTCAATGTATTGTCGCGGTTTGTCATTGAGACAGGACGACTCGGGGTCTCGCGATATGATTGGTGCAATCAGGGGCTGTGATCAAGACAGTGCAGCAGGAAATTGGGGAGGAGGGCATGGACTATGTGACGATGATGAACGAAAAACGTTACCAGCAGAAGTGCTACCTTACATTGTTTCATAACGTATGTACAGTTATTGAGAGATTCGTATGGTATTCATGATTGTGATGGAAATGAATGTTGATAAAAAGGGTTGAATGTGGACACGGGACCGGGGGCGGAGGGACCACCCTGGAAGCAGTCGTGTGGATATGTGGTGGTACCGTACAACTGATGCGCACGGGGTGGATGTGATTGATTCAGGATCAGCAAATTGCAACTGCCCGACGGCGACTGCTGACGAACAAATGGCTAAACTGGCGTGTGATGTTCCGTGGCTGACGTCCCGGCCACTCTTCACGCGAGGGAGCGCGGCAATGCCGCGCAAGCTTCACGGGGATGATGACGGACGAAAAAGGAATATTTAGGATATGTCGACGTGGATCGAGCACTTTTGGAGCAGAATTTTTTCGTGTGCCACATCTACAGACACAAAGGCGATTCTGGTCTGGAGATCCATGTGTTCCGGGTTAAAGTCTCTCGCTAAAAGAGTCTCTTTTCCCCCTTGAGTGGAGTTTTCCTATATCGCCTAGGTTTGGCCCGACCCCTATAGTCCCTTTTGTTTGGCGAGAAATTTTGCAGCTTGACCGAATCATTGCACGAATCAGCTCCGCAGCCAATCAGAGGCTCCAGATCGAACCAGCCAGCATTCAGGGAGAACGATAAATAAGGGATCATATTTAACTTTAGAATTGTAAGTAATTGTTTTGATTGACCGTGATTACTTTTCAATCCTGTCGCGCAGTCTCCAGCGCGCTCGATGATGGCATCTCATTTATCTCGCTTACAGGGTAAAACAGAAGTTTTTACCTTCTATTCGACCCCCCAAACCATTATTTATTTTGTTTTGTTTTGCCCGTTAGTCATGCGACATTGATCAGTGCGGGGAACCGTGCGACGAGAAGTTGAAGCAAGCGCGGTCCGAATCTACGTAAAAGACATAATAAAAAAACTAGTAGCAAACAAATAACTCTTTATGCAATTTCCCTGGCCGGGACTAAAAGTATCGCGTTTTGCCCGGGGTTTGAAGGTTTTCGCACATAGTCCACGCGCGGCATCTTATTCCGTCGGACTACAAACGAGAACATCTGTAATCAGGGGCTGCGTCAATAGCCAATTAGCTGCTTGAAGGATGATCACCCGCCCCGCAACCCTTAGGTAACTCTACCGCTGCCAATAAGCGAACAAATTGTCAGCATGTGAAGCCTTTCTTGCTGCTTCCAGCCGCCAAGCGAACACATGCGGCGAACAAGTTTTATCGTAGCACTTCGCCACTACTTCGGTTTGTCTTCCCACCCCTTCGCTTCCCTGTAAAATCCAAGCATCCCATGCGCCTCAGCTCACATCTTCTTAGTATGCCAACCATTCACTCTCCCGTACACTCTCCCCACACGTGCCAGTGACAGGCAACGCACAGGCAGACTGGCATCCAAGCACAAGTCAGTTCGCCGCTCAGCCCCTTGCACTTTTTTCCCAGCTTTAGCTAGCCTTATCAGCAGTCGTCATGCATGCTGTAATTTCCAGTTTTACGGGATTCCCGCCGAATGCTGCCTGCTTGTGCGCGCCGAATCAACTCTGGGTTCGCCACGCCATCATGGCAGCAGATGCTATCCTCCTAAGCGGCAACGGTCTTGCCGCCACTGCGTTCTCGAGATTTGCGTCGCCTTGTGTTTCACGCTTCGTCGCACAACCTTCGGACGACTGGTTTCCCGCTTCGGCCTCTGTTCGTCAAACGGTCAATTGCTGCGATTCCGCGAGCTGCTGCGAAGATACAGACGCGTCGTCGTCGTCGTCGTCGTCGTCATGCGAACGTTGTCGAACTTCGCACGACCAATTCCACGACTCTCCTATGGACAGATTGAGGCTGGGCGTTACCTCGCTTCGAGGCCAAATTGGTCATCTCGGTTACCTCCACGCTTTCGCAGACGTCGCGAGGGACACTCGAACATTCGCTCAGCAAAGACAACGAGGATATTTGAGTCGCGATAGCGTGTTTTCGGATCCGCAAGCATTCAACGAGGATTACGCCGTGTCGTACGGGTCACAAATAACTCATGGCCGCGAGTTTTCGATTTTTTATTCGCACGAGGGAAGTCGGCCCTTAGTACGGCATCGCGACGCGTTCATGAGCGGTTTTTGCGGCGTGACTGGCGGCGAGAGGCGCCTGGGCTACGCGGCGCGGGGTTATCAGAGCGCAGCGGCGATGGCGGTGGTGGACGAGGCTCGCGAGGAGGCAATGAACGAGGAACGGTGGAGAACGCTGAAGGAGAAAACGGTTCTATCGTGTACCACGTTCAACGTCCTTGCGCCAATTTACAAGAGAATGGGTGTCGAGGTAAGGCGCATGGACAGAGAAGTCAGAGACGAATTGCTTGTGTTATTGTCATTAGGCCATGCACTTCTGTGTGTCATGCGTTTTGCTATTCACTTTTCTTTTCCTCAAGCGTTGCTTATGTAAATCTCTCCATCTCTCTCACCGTTACCGTTTGTCTGTTGCGGCAGAGCGAGAGGGAGAGCGCGTGTCAGCATGTATGGCGGGAGCGCAACCAGGAGATCATTAAAACGTTGCTCCACACCAAGTCGTCCATCCTGTGCTTGCAGGTACCCCGATTTTAGGTTTTGTATTCTTTGTTATTGGATGAGCCCGTAACTGTGATAAGTAGGTACACGGAACGTAAGTGGCTCTTCAGGGAACTCGAAAATCAGATACTAGACTCAGGTTACATCTTTTGCTGTAGAATGTTATTGGCTAGGTTAGTTTTTCGAGATTGTCATCCTTTTGTGATTTCTTTCCTAGCTTATTCTTCTTGTGCCAATTTGTTTCGCAGGAATGTTGGCTGGCCAATCCGGAGTGGGTAGACATGTACGACACAGCGTTACAGGGTGCTGGTTACCAGCTTCTCAAGCTGCCTCGCACAAACGCCAGGGGAGATGGTGAGGGAGCATCATGCAACTGTGTCTACTACATGCATGGGTAGACCACCACCCGCTGTGCTTCCTCTACTGTCTGCAAGCCATCTGTCCTTTGCTCCGATCAACCCTCCCTCTACTTTGTTCCCCATTACCATCGCCAGGCCTCGTGATGAATGGCAGTGAGAGCATCCGACTGGGCGGTGGTAGACCACCATCCGCTGTGATCCCTCAACTGAACCCCCTTCGTTTCCCCCCCATCCCCAGGCCTCATGATGGCAGTGAGGGCGTCTGAGTGGGAGGTGGTAGACCACCATCCACTGTGCTTCAACGACTGTGGCGACCGGGTGGCACAGATTGTTCGACTCCGGGCGAGGCGAGGCGGAAGGGGGGAGGGCGCAGCTATGGTAGGAAGGGGAGGAGAAGGGGGAGGGGGAGGGGGAGGGGGAGGGGGGAGAAGTATGAAGGGAGGAGAGGAGGAGGAGAGAAGGGGGGAAAGCGAGGAGGTGGTTGTGGCGAACACGCACTTGCTTTTCCCACACAACGCCAACTCCAGCATTGTTCGTCTGTGCCAGGTGTGTGCCAGGTGTGTGCCAGGTGTGTGCCAGGTGTGTGCCAGGTGATGCAAGCTCTATCTGACTTAGTCTGAGGATTTTACGTTTGACTCGTAAGTCAACTCAACGCTACGTGTGTCTGTGTCTGTGTGCATCATGTGTGCGTGTGTTTGTGTGTGTGTGTGTGTGTGTGCGCGCGCGCATGTGCGTGCGTGCGTGAGTGCGTGCGTGTGTTTGTGTGTGTGTGTTTGTGTGTCTGTGTTTGTGTGTGTGTGTTTGTGTGTGTGTGTTTGTGTGCGTGTGTTTGTGTGTGTGTGTTTGTGTGCGCGCACGTGCGTCTGCAAAAGGTATACAAGCTCCTGGACTTTTGAGACATCTCAAAGATTGTGTGTGCGTATGTGTGTCTGTGCGTGTGTGCGTCTGTGCTCATGTGTGCATCTGCACCAGGTATACAAGCTCCTGGAGCGCATTGATGGGTACAGAGAGGAGCACCACACCGGTGCGCTGCCCATCATACTCTGCGGGTGAGAATTTTCGCCTTTCTTTCTGCCTGTATCTCGGCCTTTATCTCTGCCATTATCTCTCTCTCTTCCTCTGCCTCTGCCGCTCCGCCTGCCGTTGCATCTCTCACTCTGCGTGATGCCTGTGTGACTGTCCGGCTGTGTGACAACAACGCAGGGACCTGAACGGCACGAAGCAGGGCAACGTGTACAAGCTGCTCAGGGCGCATGGCTTTGTGTCCTCCTTTGACTCGGCGCACCACCACAGCGACGACGACGAGCAGGTACAGCGTGCACCACATGTATTCTCCAGCTGTGTGCCGTCATTCATTATCACGTGTCTTTGTACCTTTCGTGTCCTCCTTTGATTCCGCGCACCACCACAGCGACGACGACAAACAGGTACTATTTGCGCAGGTACTCACCCGTCGATCGATCAAGCATGTAGACCACTGGAATAGCACTCGCAGCAAGCTTGGCTCTGTGCTCACGGCTCCTCGTTCCATCCCTTCATCATCTCCCTCCTCCGTTCCTCCCACTCTGGTTCTCCTTGTTCCCTTTCCCCCAGTGGGTGAGTCACCACAACCACCACGGCAACCTGTGTGGGGTGGACTATGTGTGGGTGCTCAACCCAGAGCAGCACCACCGAGCACTTGCAGTCAACTGGCGGACGGCGGTCTTTGGCCTTACTCGGTCCAAGCTCGCTTCGGCCGGCATCACCAACGTGGAAGCTGCTTTTGAGTTTTTCCTGCGGGCGGGTGAAGGGCGGACGGCAGGGGAACGGGCGGCAGAGGGGCGGGCGGCAGAGGAGGGAGATGCTGCTTTCAGCATGGGCGATTTCCAGAGGGGTCTGGACCGACTGGGGTTGACTGGCGTTGACTCCATCGGACTGACGCGCATCGAGGTGGAGGAGCTGATGCGGTCCGCTGACTGCCAGGGGAAGGGCTGCGTTGAATTTCAAGACTTCAAGGTAGACGAGCTTCTCGTTGCTTGCTCTCAACCTAATCAGTCCTGTTGACTTGACTCTCATTGACTTGCATTGACTTGAGTGCACTCCTGTCAACATTTGAACATTTGAGAACCGCTTTTGCAGGATGATACACACCTCTTGCACTACATCCCTGCAAAATCGACCATCCCCCTTTTTCTCATCCCCTTTCTTTATCCTTCCTTTCCTCCCTTCCCCCGCTTTGTTCGAATTTAAATCGGAGCAGGCTCTCTTCGATCAGCCCACATGGGATGACACCGTGGCAGCTCTCAGGCACTCACTTGCCACGTCATGCTCTGCTGACTCACCTCCACCACGTGCTGACTCAACCGCTGCTGACGTCCACAGAACCACCTCTGACATCAGCAGTGTGTCGACTGACATCAGCATCACCTCAGCTGACATCAGCAGCCCTGGTCGTCTGAGTTCAATGTGCAATCTTTCCACCACCAGCAATCAGCAAACTCAGCACACTCAATGCGTATCCACAACCATCCCCTCTCACCCGTCCACTCCCTCCCTCCAGTTCCTACCCTCCTCGCAACCATCACGGCCCTTTTCCCCATCTTCCCACCTCTCCCCATTCCCATCATCATCACCCCTGTGTACATCTCCCATCTCACTCCTCTCACCTTCCCGCTTCCTTCAATCGCTCCCCCACACTCGCACTCACTCTCTCCCAGTCATGACTTGCTCGTCGTCCTCCTCTCCCCTAACCTCTTCCTCTCCTCCCACCTCCTCCTCTCCACCACCCGCTCACTCCCACCACTTATTCCACTCTGTCGAACCTTCCATGCAGTTTCCTCATCTGCACCTCTTCAGCCATCTCACCCTCTTCAGGTCCGGCATTGCCGACCCTATCACAGCTTCGGCAGATCCTCTTGCCTTTTCACATGCAGTCGCTGCCTCAGCAAGAAGACAGTCATTCCAGCAGCAGCAGCAGCAGCAACAGAACCAGCAGCCTCACCAGGGCCAGCAGCAGCAGCAGCAGCAGCAGGAGAGTCAAATAGAGGCAGAGTGTAAACGGTTGCGGAAGAAAATGGGCCTATCCGGATGTACAGCACTCCGAGGTGACTGTAAAGGATGTTCTTTTAGCAAGGCTGTTGCTCTTCAAACTCACACAAAGGGGGAAGGAGCGGTGACAGAGGGAAGAGTGGGAGGGGCGACTGAGGGGAGGGTGAAGAAGGAGCAGCTGGGTAATAGAACGATGCAAGGGAGCAGTGGGAAGGAGGGAGGGAGCGTGCAGCTGCAAGGTACATTGAATCTGGACGTGCTGCAAGCAACCCTGTTTCCAAGGGCCATGGAGGAGGGCGTGTGGCCGGAAGGCTACACCATTTCTGACCATGCTGTGCTCACTGTGCGATTTGGGCGGAGTTGAGCCGTGACGTAGACTATGTGACTGTACAAGGTGGTGGGAATTGGAGCTACAAGGTAGTGGATTGTTGCGTTTGATTGTCTTAAGCGCAGGATTAGGAGAGCAGGTGCTTATCACTGTTGATGCTTGAGTGAGATGTTTTACGCTGCGGTGGGCTATTTTGGAGCAAGAGCTCACCAATTTTGACGTTTTGAATGAATGATGTACATATGATATGAACACTGTCCATTTCTTGCAACGACAGCAAGCAGTGTTAGCTATGAGAACATTTTGGAGTCTGGAGTTTAGTGGCATCTGCTCGGCTGTTACGGAGGGACAGAAAGGTAACTGGCGCCATGGCTCTTGTAAAGAAATGAAACAAACGGATGGGGCGTTTAGGGTGTTTTTTTTCCACACTGGAAACATTACTTTGATGAACACCACCATTTCCCATTATTGTCTAACAGCGAACTACAAACATATTTATATATAGTTCGTTCGCTACGTTAGTGGTCTGTTAGTGGTCTGTAACGGAGATGTTGTTTCCTGGACACCAATAATTGTGCGTCAACTGCTCAGCTACAAAAAAGTGCGACGTAGCGACGTTCATCGAAACGCACTCCAAACAGACATTTGCGACTCGGCGATTCCTCTTGGACAATCCCCAATAATTCTACGACACGCCTCACAACAACAAACTCGTTCCCTCACAAGCATTCTTCCCTCTCCCAGTCTCTCAAGTCATCGTCACAACAATTTCGAACAACAGTTGGGCATAATTGATGGAACTAGCTTGCTCGACAAGGGTGGTTCGAACAGTATTGAATTGCTCCTCTGTTACGCTCTCCAGAGAAAACGAATAGCATCACGTTTGCTTCGTTTCAGCCAAGTCCTGCACATCCATTACAATGGAATCACATAGTTCCGGAAGAATGTTTAATGACATGAATAATGCGAGAACTCAATCCGTTACTCACTGACCCACGCACTGGTACGATAAACCGTTTTTTTTTCCTTCTTGGTGTGGTTTCCAGACGCGCTTCGTCTCCCTGGAAGCCCTGAATTTAGCCTTAGCGCGCGGTCTCTCAGTTCAACCTCGTTCTCTCGGTCTCCGCCTCGACTGAAATTAACTCAATCCGTTCGGCTCTTTCTAGCTTGGCCGGTCAGTGGCATTAGTTCTGCTACTAGTCAGCGTAGTACTAGATAGCGAAGTTTACGGGAAAAGCCGATTCTTCTACCAAAGTTTTACGTCGGCGGCCCGCGCAGAGTCAAAAAGAAGGCGCGTAAAGATGGAGATTGCCGGGAAAGAGATACCCTTATGGGCACTGGTTGTAGCAGGCGTGGTCGCCGCAATAATCCTCATCGCGCTGCTCTGCATCTGCTGCCGCTGCTTCAAGTCCACCAAAGGCTGCTGCAAATGCTGGTACAACGTTTTCTTCTGCGGCGGCTGCTGCTGCCCCTGGAAGCGCCACCGGCGGGTCGTCGCGACGGACGACGCGGATGGTGGCGCGAAGGCGACTCCATCGAACAGCCTGGGCGTCAAGTACGGCAGTGGCTATAACTCCGCCGCCCCATACGTCGCCGCTGGCGTGACGGCGATTACCATTCCGCCCGACGTCGGCGCTCCGCAGCTGGCGCTGAGATCCCCGCACGCTGGCGCAAAGTTTTGGCGCAAGGTGCTGCGGTCGCCGGGCTTTAAGGACATGGCGCGGAAGAAAGCGGCGCAGCAGCGGAGCATGTCGTTCCAGCAGTTCGACCTGCTACAGTTAACTCGCGCTACAAGGAACTTCAGTAAGCAGAACTTTATCGGAAAAGGAAGCACGTCCGAGGTTTACCGAGGCGCGGGGCCGAACGGAGCGCAGTGGGCGGTTAAAAGATCCGTTTGGCGGCCCGGGGGCGGGGATAACGGCGGCATGCTGACGTTTCGCCCGGCAAACCCGGCGGCTTACGCGGAGCTAGAAGCGGATTTTATCTTCGGCGCGAAGTCTATGGCGGTACTATGCCATCAGAATGTGATTCAACTGCTGGGTTACTGTTTCGAGTGCGGCGAGAGGGTGCTTATATACGAGTTCGTGGGCGGGCCGAGTTTGGAGTCGATGATTTTCGGGAATACCGACGTGTGGAAGGAGAAGATTACGATGTGGCGAAGGGGTTCGCGAAACGCTCGCGCGCTCAAGGACCTCGGGGTTGTCGCGGAGGGCGAGGAGGAAGGAATACCGTTCGATTTCATGCACCGGCTGCTGATCGCCGTTGATATTGCCGAGGCGGTCGCGTACCTGCACACGGAGTTCCCTAGGCCGTATTTACTTGAGGGGTTGCACCCGAAAAACATTATTTTCGATACGAACGGCGTTCCCAAGGTGGGCAACATCGGGCGGATGAAAGTTTTGATGACCCGAGACATCACTGGCGGCTTGAGCATGCTGGGCGGGTTACCACACGCGCCGACGCTCGCAATCAGTGGTTACATCGACCCCAGTTTTAACATAACAAGGAAATCGTCGCCACCCAATGACGTGTACGCGTTTGGCGTTATCCTCCTGCAGATATTCACCGGCCGCCCAGCCGTGATTGAGAACGAGCCAGGCGAAACTACTGCGAAGTTGGACCTAGGCACGTGGGTCTCGAAGCGCCTTAGGTCGGGAGGAGACGCCGGCATAGGGAGTATAGTGGATCCGCGGCTCGGCACCGCCTACCCTTCTGACGTCATTCGGAGAGTGTTACAGGTTGGCCTGGACTGTCAACTGTTCCCCGCTAAGAAGCGCCCCGGTATAAGAAAGGTTGCAGAGCGTCTATTGGCTATTCATGAGGAGTTGGTTAAGGAGGGTGGGGTGGTGGTGGTGGATATTCCCGAACCTGAGCCCGAGGCTGGGGACTTCGTGGTTGGGGAGGAGGAGGGGGGGAAGGTGAGTGGAGGAGGAGAGAAGTTGGGGGAGGGGATGGCGGAGGCCAGTGGGGAGGTGATGCGGGAGGGGGTGGTGGAGGTTAGTAGGGAGGAGATGGGGGAGGGGGCGACAGATGTTAGTGGGGAGGCGATGAGGGAGGGGGTGGTGGAGGATAGTAGGGAGGAAAAGGGGAAGGGGGGGACGGATGTTAGTGGGGAGGAGATGGGAGAAGCTACAGGGAAGGCGGAGAGAGAAGGGGGAAGTGAGCAAGAGAGTGAAGTGAGGATCAGAAAGGAAGACGCAGGGGAGAAGGGAAGTGTGGGAGGTGCGGGAGATAGCAGCGAGGAAGGGAGGGGGGTTGAGAAAGCTGAAGATCAGAAGAAGGGGAAGAAGGGGAAGAAGGAAAAGAGGGAGAAGAAGGATAAAGAGAAGAAACGGAAGGAGGACGAGCAAGCAGACAGGGAGCAAGTGGAGGTCGGGGCGGACAGCAACGTGTAGCACGCTTGCACAAGGTAAGGTGTACACTGGTAAGAGAGTATATCCCTATCTATATCTCACTCAAGCTCCTTCATTATTCCCATTATGCAGTCTCGCTACATGTAATAGGTTCTCGCCCCGTCTTGTGAGCTAGTACAATCCAAGCCCTCTTGGGTTCTCGCCCCCTCTTGTCATTTATGTGTTCCTGGCCAGGAAAGAGAATACCTGCAGCAGGGCGCATGGAGCAGGCTACACTGTATTGGCGAGGCTGGAGGAGAACGAAACATTACTGAATCCAGACAGCTTTCTTTGTGCTGTCGTTCAAATTGCAAAGGTGAATAAGTGAGAACATGCTGAGCTGCCTACAGCAACACGCTAAGGATGAAACACTATATGTTCCCTAGTGTAGTCCACATCTTGATACTAGCTTGTCTCATTGAAATATCCATTATTCACTCAATCAACTATCTGATATTCCACATTCCAACAAGTATCAATGCCATATGATCACATACCGTCCTAGTGGATGTTCAGTTCAGGTACCACAACCAGTCACTCACTGCCCTCGGGGACCCCCATAAGGTGCACCTGGGCATGTAAGCTGTAGCTGTCCCTCTCCCTGTCCCTGTCCCTGTCCCTGTCCCTGTCCCTGTCCCTGTCCCTGTCCCTGTCCCTGTCCCTGTCCCTGTCCCTGTCCCTGTCCCTGTCCCTGTCCCTGTCCCTGTCCCTGTCCCTGTCTTTTAACCATATTCTAAAAAGTTCTTCTTTGCTGACAACACTAATTTTCCAGGGTATTTTCCAACACTGATTTCTCCGTGTCGCGATCCTGACGAGGCACGTCGCCCGAATTGTCGCCTCCATCGACGTCGCCCTCGCTATCTCCCGTCGCGCCCCTCCCCACAGTTCGCGTCGCCTCGCTATCTCTCCCCTCCCATCCCGCACGCCTTTCTCTCCAATCACCCGTCTTCTCTCCCGTCGCCCCTCCCCTCCCATCGTCTTTCCTCTCCCGTCGCCTTTCCTCTCCCTTCGCCTTTCCTCTCCCGTTGCCCTTCCTCTCCCGTCGCTTTCCTCTCCCGCCGCCCTTCCTTCTCTCCCGTCGCCCTTCTCCCGTCGCCCTTCCTACTCTCCCGTCGCCCTTCTGACTCTCCCGTCGGCTTTCTCTCCCGTCGCCCTTCCTACTCTCCCGTCGCCCTTCCTACTCTCCCGTCGTCTTTCTATCCCGTCGCCCTTCCTACTCTCCCGTCGCCCTTCATCTCTCCCCTCGCTGGATCCTCTCTCCCGTCGCCTATTCTCTCTCCCGTCGCCTATTCTCTCTCCCGTCGCTCTTCCTCTCTTCCGTCGCCCTTCATCTCTCCCGCCCCATCACCCACATCGGCGCCTTCGCGCTCGCCCCGAAATGCCTGCCCGTCGCCCCGTCGCCCCGTGATCGTCGGCCCCTCTCGCTTTTCCCTCGCAGCGTCACTCTCCCCGTCACATATGCCCTCGCTTTTTTCGTCGCTCCTCGCGGCACCCTCATCGCCGCCTTCCCATTACCTAGCTCGTTGCCCTCTCTCTCCCCATCACCCTTTTTCTCTCAGTTCGTATCACCCCTCTTATCACCCTCACACTCTTCCCTCACATCGTCCGTCACCATCGCATCACCCTTTCTCTCTCCCCCCACATCACCCTCCTCGTCGCCGTCCCCCTCGCCTCAAATCGCCCTTCCTCTCACCCTTAGCATCACCCACGTCGTAGCCCTGTCGCCCCTCAATCGTCCCGTCTCCCACTGGTTCTCCCCTCCCATTTCGTAGTCTGTTGTTGTTTTTTTGTGCGTGATTTTTGTCCCTCCCTTACCGAAACGCCCTCTCGTCCCCCACCCAATTTCTCGTCCCATCACCCACCTCTTCGCATTCGCGCTCGCTCTCAAACGCCGTCCCCGCGCCCTTCCTCTCTCCCTTCCCATCACCCACCTCGTCGCTGGAGGTCGCGTGAGTTAGAAGCAAACGGTGGTGGGGCAATTGATATGCCCCCAACCCACCGAATGTGTTTCGGTGCTCACCGCTTGAGAGAGCTGCAGGTTTCACGAAGTGTGTGGGTTGACTTCGGAAGACCCACTCAATTGGTGCCACATGGCAACACAAGAAGGATCGAGACTAAGGAAGAATTCGGTTCGGTGAAATTCGGGTGCCGAATTTCACCCCTTCGAATTGTTACGCGAATGTTCTCGATGCATCTCGTATGTTACATGCGCGACTCGATGTTTTGAGTAGCTATATATTGTGATTGCTTTGTATGCATGATATACTGAAAATCAGAGTTTTCTATACACAGTTCAACTCGACACAAAATCCAGAGACTTTCTATCCTTCAATCTTAGAGCACTACCTAGCACGTTGAAAGCCGTATCTCAGCCGATACTTGGGCGAATTACGTGTTCTACGGCTCCTTGGAAAGCCAAGAGTGTGCTCTACTGCTTAGAACAATTCCTAGTTCCTGCCAACTAGAGGACACGCCTCTACATCAGTCGCCCTCGTGCTCGCCGCGAAATGCCCGCTCGTCGCCTTTCGTTTCTCCCCCCCATCACCCATCTCTGAAACGCCCTCTAGTCGCCCTATCTCTTTCTTCTCTCGTCACCTTGAAACTCTCTGTTTTTTCCCTCCCATTGTTTTTCCTATGCTGTTTTTGCCGCCATAGGTTCTTGTCCATGGCGTTTGCTGTGCGTGAATTGCACATGCCACAATCCGTGAAATTGGCACTCGAATGTGAATGGGACTTGCACGTCGCAAACTTGCGACACATAGCACATGTGCGTGAATTGCACATTCTTGCGACGATTTTTGTTTGACGAAATCTGTGAAGACCCGATCAGTATCAAACGCGTTTGAAAAAAAGAAAAAAACAGAACACTTCCAACTTTCCAAAACGTTAAAACTTCAAGTGGACCCAACTAGAAGGGGGGGTCAGTATTTTAGCTGCGGGCTTTAAAGGGTGCATCTCGTGCTTTGATGGAAACTAGTCCCAAAAGGAAGCAAAATTGGAATGGACAACAGAACGCGTAATCTTGTTCCAAAACTCACAAGGCAAGCACCGAAACCCCTCGACCCCTCGTCACTTGCGCAGGAGCGGCGAAATTTTAGCACGGCCTCTAACCAGAACAAAAAGCACCGCCAGCCCCAGTTTAAGAAATCTCGAAAGCGGCGCGCACCAAAGCTGTCAAATTGTATTTGTTCTCTGTAGGCTGTAGTGGGGCATACCCTAAAGGGTACAACACTTCACGGTTAGGTAGTACTTGTACTCACCCTTCCTACCTAGTCAACCATTTGAACGTTCCTATTCTGACATGGTATTCAGAGCGGGTCCATCCTCCGTATGACCGCTCCGTTATGGCCCACTGTCATACTGAACGAGGATGAATGCATTGAACAGAAAGTTGGTACAAGTACTAACCCTAATTGGGTTGTACCCATTATGGGCTACCCTACTATAGTCTACACAATGTAAGGATTATAACATTTTGACACCCCCCCATAGGCAAAGTGGGGGAGAACAAATGGTCACAAGACCAGTCAAGAAAAGCAAAGCAAGCTCAGGGTGGATCACGAAGTCGCCACACATTTCGAGCACAAGCAAATGGCCACAAGGCCAATTCACATGCAGAGTTATATAAAAGAGAACAAAGAGTACAGTGATCATACCAGGCCCTCAGATTGGTTTGAGGGTATGCTGATGGATCAGCGTGCCCCGGCCAATGAGGTGTCCAAATCAGCGTTCACTGTTTTTTTTATACTGATTTTGCCAGTGTAAAAATCATAAGTAAACTGAACCAACAGTGTAAAAACAAAAAACTATAGCTGAAACCCCAGTACAAGGTGTGTGGTGTTGTTGCTGTGATAGGTTCCAGCGGCGCGCACCTGATATCTGTGCAGTGCATGCGAAAAAATGCCAAGCGTGTGGGTGGGGTGTCAGGAATCACGGGAAGGTACAGATAGGACACGCGTACCCTATCATCCCCCCTCCCCCCCCCCCCCCCCCCCCCCCCCCCCCCCCCCCCCCACACACGCGCGGTCAACTCCGTTTCAGTGTGACTCACGTCACTATACTGATTCGTCAGTGTTACTTGTACAGCAACACGCAAAATGGTCAGTGTGGCAACGTAGGTTATACTGAAATTTCAGTGCAAAATTGAGGCATATGCTGATTTTTCAGGGAAAACGAAAATCACAGCTACAAAATCAGCGTAATCAGCGTGTTTTACGCTGATATCTGAGGGCCTGGATCATACCTTAGCAAGTGTAAACATACACGCATATATATTTGTATATCACAGTACAAGCAAAGTCACGAAGTGAGCAAGCGAGGCAAAGTAGGCACAAGGCCTAAAATAGTACAGAAACGCTGCTGATCACCAGACTGAAGTGCCTTGGTGAATATATCAGCAGTGTTGGCCCGAGTAGCCACGTAAGCAAGACGAAGCTGACCACGCTGCTGCAACTCTCGAGCAACGAAGTAACGGAGAGCGATGTGCTTCGTTATGTGCACCAGTCTGTGCTCCTAACACAACGCAATCATGGCCTTGTTGTCTACGTACAGAACTGGAGAAGAACGAGGCCGCTCTCCCAAGTCGATCAGCAGGTAGGTGAGCCAGCGTAACTCCTGTGCAGCCATGGCCACTGCGTAGATCTCAGCCTCACAACTAGAACTGAGAACAAAAGACGAGCGGGTAGACCGCCAAGAAACAGAGCCGGAGCCAAGGCTGAAAGTGTAACCCTGTGACGACCACTGCGTAGCCAAGTCGTCAACCCAAGACGCGTCTGCGTGTCCAGTGAGGACAACTGGACCCCGTCCTCCAAGCACGAGCCCCATGCTCGACGTACTGCACAAGTAGCGCAACACCCTCTTAGCGGCCTCCCAGTGCTATGGTCGGTGTCTCCCGGGCGCAACATAGCGTGCCAGGATGCTAAGAGGGTAGGCAAGGTCAGGTCGAATGCAGGTCATCAGGTACATGAGGCAGCCTACAAGCTTTGGATACGGGCCACTCGGCTCTACAGACTCGTCCGAAGGTGGAGCTGAGAGCGAGTGACCGATAGGCAGAGGAGTGGACTGTGGCGAGGAGCACCGGAAGCCGAAGCGTTGAAGGACCTAGTGCACCATGTGTGACTGAGTCAGGGTGATGGTGCGCCGTGCTCTGTCCCGGGTGATCTGCAAGCCAAGATAGCTGCGCAGCTCACCCAGGTCAGTGCAGGTGTGTCTCTTCTGCAGCTCCGACTTCACAAGGGCCAGTGCCTCAGTGTCAGTAGTGGCAAAGACCAAGTCGTCGACGTATCTGAAGACGTAGACCGGGGGCAGCGAAGTGTCAGTGCGAAGAAACAGCGACGGGTAAGCAGTAGAAGGAGCAAACCCAAGAGCCGCAAGCGTAGTCCTCAGTGTGTCGTGCCACTCGCTAGGCGCCTGGCGGAGACCGTAGACTGGCCGCCGGAGGCTCCACTGGGTACCTGCAGGAAACGACCCAGTGAAGCCAGGTGGGCGGCGCAGCCAGATCTCCTCATGCAGGCTGCCCTGTAAGAAAGCTGTGCTGAAGTCAAGAGAGTGCAACTCGTAGTCACGCTTAGCAACGACGTGCAGCAGAACCCGAAGAGTGGTCAACTTCAGGGTAGGGGAGAAAGTATGGAAGAAGTCAACTCCCTATCGCTGACTGAAGCCTCGTGCAACGTAACGAGCCTTGAAGACAGGCGGAGAACCTGGCGGCCGCTTCACCCTGAAAATCCACATGCCATCGACTATGTTCGCCCCAAAAGGGGGAACTGCGTCGAGGTAGGTGCCTATGGACTTCCAGGATGCCATATCTGCGTCCATGGCTGTCTGCCACTGAGAGGAGTAGGGACATGTAATCGCCTCTGCGTAAGAGCACGGGATGTTTGGTGCATCCGGGTCTCCCTCAGGTGCAAGCAGCATGGCCACGAGATGAGGTACAGCAGCTGCAAGACACTCAAAGTCCTCCTGCTTGTCCTCAAGGACGTCCGTGCCAAGAGCACACTCACCCCCGACGGACGGAGGCTAGTCAGACTCAGATTCAGCAACAAGACTAACGGCGTAGTTGAGACGACAGGCGGCAGCAAATTCAACAAGCTCAGCAACTTAGGCAGACGCAGCAGTGGACTCAAACAAAGGGTCGGTAACAACAGTGGCTAGAAGACGAGGGACAGTAGGACTGGCAGCACGAGCTAAGTCAGACTCAGGGTCAGGAACGTTAGGAAGAGAGGACGCAGGAGGAGACGGCAGGGGAACTCGCAGTGGAACAGAGGAAGAACGAAGTGCCATAATGTGAGTGCCAGGGACAGGAGAAGGACGCGGACGAGGAACACGACGACCAGTGCAAACATCGCGAACAGGCGAGGCAGGACGAGACTGAGGCTCACGACGCTATGTAAGAGAGTCTGTATGCTCAGCGTAAGGAGAAGGAGCAGGCAGTGGGGAGTCTGGCTGTAATTGTGGCTGCAACTGGTGAGGCGGTGGATAAAGTAAGCTAGGAGGAAGGCCGGTAGAAGACGGGAGACTAAGAACCTGGCGAAGGACCGAGTCAGGTGGAGGCAGAGAAGACGGCTATGGCGGAACGAAAAACGGGCGCCGCTGTACAGTGCCTCCAGCACCAGGACCGCCAGATCCAGCACCCCCAGCGCCAGCACCTCCAACTCCAGGGTCTCCAGCTCCAGCGCCTCCAGCTCCAGTGCCTCCAGCGCCAGCGCCTCCAGCTCCAG